AAATTTTAGATCAATTTGCTTCGCTAATTTTTTTAACTCAATAAAAGAGTTCACAATTAAATTTTGAGCAAACTTTGAAAGTAACTGGGCCCTAGCCATCACATTTACAATGGAGTACCTTTTTGCATAGAAGGCTTATCTTCACCTTTTCCGTTTTCACTCAGCCTTTTGATAAATTTTGCTTGTATAGATGAGTAGGTAGTTTTTCTCAAGATATTACCTGTAGCTTTCCTTAGGATAGATTATGTGACATTTTTATTACTTTTGTCACTTAACCAAAGTTAGCATTTTCATTTTCATTTATGATAGGTTTTGTAAATGTCAAATTTCTTGTTAAAGAGTCAGACTTGACATTCCAAAAGGCAAAGGATGATATAAATAATATTCAAGTATACACAACTAGAGTTGGAAATAATTTCAATCACTTTCTCCCACCCTCCCAAAATCAAGGTAACCTACTTTTCAAATATTTATTTGAAAAGAATAAATCAAGCTTCAGAAAAAAAAAAAAAAGAATGACATAGGATATTCTAAAATGTGATATATCTATCCATAATTCAAGTATAAAGACCATGAATAATCAGAGAAAACCAATGTGAAATCCATTTGGTATGACTTGTAGCATACATTTACAGTTAATTAACCCTGACTTGAATTCCTTAGAATTAACTTTTACAGAATTATAGAGGATTTAAAATTAGGTTTCCATCAATTTTAGAGGTAAGCTAAAAATTTTGTTCTTCTATTATTTCCAGGGAAGTAGAACTGTTGAAGTGTATTGGTGATCAGGTTGTGACTTTCATTTCCTTTCTTTATTTTCTCAATTTTTAGGAAACTATAAACTGGTGGATTCTTTAACATACTTTCAAAGGAAAAGGGAATGACTCAGCTTCTTTATGAAGATCACTGGGTTCAGGATACTCACATAAATTTAGGGTCACAAACACAGCTACTTTTGGGGGCTAAATGACATGCATGGGGGCATGAGTCAGGCAGGGATGAAGGCAAGCTGGAGAGTGCCTGCTTATTTACCGCAGTCCAAGAAAGCGCAGTCCTGCAAACATGGGGCATCAAAAGGACAATGGCTTCTGCTATGTTCAGAGAAGCCCAAAACACATTTTTTTTTCTAAGTATTCAATCTCCCAATTTTGAAATGTTAGCAATTATTTTCCTGAAAACATTGCCTATGGTCTGCGAGCTGCATTTGGCCTACAAGCCACCATCTGCAAGCCAGTACTGCCCAACAGAAGAGCATACTGCGAGCTAATCCAGTAACCACAACGCCTTACAACAAGACATAGAATTGTCAAATTCATTTCAAGTCTCATGTAGGCTGATCTGAGCACCATCTTTGAGAGACTGAACAAATACGAAAAGGTTGCTTGATGATTTAAGAATCAAAGTAAACAGTTTTATGATTTGAATAGACAGTATCGTCAAGTGATTAATAAGTTGGTACACTCATTTATTTGACAAAGATATATTGAGTGCCTTGCATGTACCAGGCACTGTTTTAGCCACCAGGCATACAGCTCAGTACAAGGCACCTATCCCCAAAGGTGCTTACATTCTAGAGGCAGAATGTAAATAAATACAGAGGTAATAAATAACTAAGCAAACAAGAAAAATAGCAGCTGATGATAATGATCATGCAGAAAATTAAAAACAGTAATTTGTCAACAGGTGTCTGGCCTTCCTATACTGGTCCATGGATCTCAAACCTCACCCCCTGAGACTGTCAGAGTGTCAAATTCTTCCTCTTTACTCCTTTTGCTCAGGTTATGAGATCACTTGTGGTATGTTTTAATAAATTGAAGGCCACTTTATTTTAAAGTAGTTACATTTTAATCTTCTTGACTAGATTTGGTGGAAATCTCAATCCAGGAGGGATTTAGGGAAACCTCTAATCTAATCAACAGCTTAATTACAATGCCTGGGTCAGTGCTGCAGACGGTTAATTTCAACCATTTTATGTTGCCTCCTTTTAGCTTCAGTTTTAGAGGACATCATTTTCCAGTGTGTCCCTAAATTCTAAGAATGTACCATTTGAGGATTTTTACCACCTTTTGGGAACAAAGACTAATAACATCTTCATAGTGAAACTCTTTTCCTAGGGCCAGGGCTTCTCCCACGTAAAAATGCACACTAACAAACATCTTTGTAAACTCTTCCCTATAGTTGCCCCTGTATGATGAAATGGAGAAATCCTGGAATGTCCAGTCAGAAAAACTGGGTTCAAAACCAGATGTTTGGCTCAGCTGTGGACCAACTCTTTGATCTGGTAGTCAGTCACCTGATCCTTGCTGTTTCTCTTTGAAAGCCCACTTCTTGGGGCGCTGAATGTGAGGACTGAGTGAGAGTGTGAATTTGAAAGCCAACTCTGAAACGCTGGCTATGACAGTTATTCTGATTGGAAGGGCCATTAAGGTCAATGGCAATGCTCCTTTTGTGATCAGTTACAAGAAAACAAATGGGTCCTTGTGACTGTGGGGGAAGGAGGCAGAGCCAGACACAAAGTGGATCTCTTCTGGAAAATCAGCCGCTGAAAGGAAAACAAATAAAATCTGTAAAGTTATATTTCAATTCAAAAAGAAATGTGAATTGTATGTAATGGCAAGAGGAGCACTGGTAATAATACATGGCTAACATTCATCGCGAACTTACTCTGTTCCAGACATGGAGGTCATAACTTTGCATGTATTAGCTCTTCAAATGAGGGGAGGAGAGGGAAGGAAAAGAAAAGTTAAGCTAATAGTGTGAAGTTAAAAAAAATTACCGCGTACATAACGTGCACTATCGTGTCCCCACCAGCCCCCCGCCCCCAGCTCTTTATACATGTGGTTTCCAGACCCATTTCTCAGAGGTTTGGTGTCTTTTGCAGCCCTTTGGGCCCCTTCCGCCCATTGTTATCTAATCTCCCCTTCTCGGCCACGCAGGAAGGTCCACAACCTCCCCTGTCCCCCAAGACCCGCCCCCCAGCAGCCTTCAGAAATAGTTCTCTCGTATGTAGGTGCCAGCATTTTATGCGGTAAACACATGTTGCCCTTAACACTGAACTGCAGGTTAAAAATGTATTCCACTAAATTATGCAGCGGTTAGCTGAGCAAATAATGAAAATGCAAAAGAATACATTCAGTATATGGAGCTTAGAACATATCCTTTTGGAAAGCTAAACATTTTTTATTTTTTATTTTTGCCCCAAATAAGACTAGAAATGGATTGCTCAATTTATGACTTCCATTAATAAACTTCTCAGAATATGAAATGTCTCCAATATGTGGGGACGCTGGGGTGAAAGGTGCCGGATAATTCTCATTGGTGCGTGCGCTGGGCGCAGGAGGAAATATGCTAATGCAGCCGTTTGCCGCAGGGTTGGTGTTATTTATACAGCGCTGGCTGGGCAAGGTTGGCGCTGGAGCAGGAGAGGAAGGAGAGGTTTGTCTTCTATGAGAGTATAGATGTGTGCGCCTGTGCACACGGCGTTCCAAACGTGAATACAAGATCTTAGGGAGGGGGTGGGGAATGCCGTCACGTTTATACCGTGTGTATTGTAACTTGTGTTGGAGATCTATCCCAGCATCGTGCTTACATCGCATTCACTTAGGAGTGGGGGAAGAAATGGCGATTTGGGAGTGGGTGCGGCGGGTCGCAGGTGGCCAGACACTGCGGGGGACTGGCGACCTGAAACTGGCAAAGGCGCCTCCTTGACCCTGCTCCACGGACACAAAAATCAACCTTATTCGCTCCTGGAAAAAGCGCAGAGGGTTGTTCCCGAAGGCTGAAGACCCTCGGGCTTGGGACTGGGAGCGGGGCGCGGGCAGCGGGACGGCCGGGCACCTCTGAAGAGACAGAGGTCACGGAGACTGGCGCGCGCGGAGTGGGTGGGGGGCCCGCGCGGCTGCGGGAACCCAGCCTCACAGAAGACCCGGCCCACACGTTCTCA